TTGGTGTTCTTCAATTATAGCTTGAAATGCCACTGCAAAAGGACAATGTTCTATGTTCAATGAGTCCCAATGGCATAATCAAAGCTCAGTACACAAATCTGAATGAACACATTAAATGACTGTGTTCTGTTTAAAGTGTACTATATTCTGTCAGTTACATCATTCCAGACAATTATAATTTTGAACAAAAACAGAAGTCGCTAGAAAAGCTCAACAGGTCTGGCAGCATCTGTGAAGAAAAATCAGAATTAATGTTACGGGTCCGGTGACCCTTCCTCAAAACTGATGAGCTTTTTACAGCATCCACAATTCTTTTGGTTTTTCTTTCAATTTTCATTTAGGTACAACTTTGATTTTGAATAGTAAATATTGTGGGTATGTACATGCTCAATTAAGATAAAAATCCTATGCCTAAAAAGCAGATCAATATATGGCAAAATGCAGATATGATTGTTGTGTTACAGAATAAAATAATAATTTATTTTGCTTTCTTTTTGGTCACACCAACTAATATGCAAAAGGCAAACATTGAAACTAGGACATGATTACTTACCAAAACTTCCCTTAGGTTCACCCCAACATAACCATTCTCAAAGCTAACATACCTATCTGTGAGAGCTATGATAAATCAGCTATAATGATATTAAAACTCATTTGTCAGAGTTATTTGATTAGTTGCATCCTAGACTGCGAGAGCAGCTGGCGAAAGAAAACCATCAAATGTTGTTATTGGTCCAGTTCGGATAACTTTAAGTACATCAAACAGTAAAACACATCGAATTCTGATTAAAACTGCCCCAGGCAGGGGAATATTTGTGTTATTTGTCTGTGTGGACCATCAGCAAGGTGAGATATATAATACAGGAGTAATTAATCTGGTATACCTGTAAAATCTATGACTATGAACGTTATAACAACTGTAACCATCTTACCATCTTATATCTGTTATGTAACATAGAAAGAATTCAGTGAACAAAGGCAACTTTAAGACAACTTAAGTGGCAAATTAATGGATCTGTAAGTGCTGGGAAACATAAACAAAAGGTAAAGAAGGAGGCAATTTGGCTAATTGTTTCAGTGCCAGGCAAAAGGAGCTATCTAACTAGCCCCATTTCCCTTCCACTGGACCATAGCCCTGTACTTACAGCACTTCAAATGTATATTGTTATGTCCAGACCCCAGGTGAAGTTCCCTATTTCATTCCAGATCTAGCCGGGATATTGCCAAACCATTAAGCTCCCAGATAAGGAAGGGTGAAATGACTCTCTTTCTTTATACATCTACCCTTCAGCTTGTTGAAATTAGGCTAGTTTTAAAAAAGGATCCCTTCCTTTATGCATAGCTTTCTTCTACACTCAAAGGACATGTTTTGAAAGGAACTAACTTAGCCAGGCTTTCTTGAAGTAACAACTAGAGTTTATTAATTACTACATGTGAGAAGAAATACTAATGCAACATGTACTCAAAAGTTAGAAATAATGTTGAGTCCAAAAATATAAAAGTTAATAAGCAGTATATGGATCAATCTGAATTGTTCACAAAGAGGAGACAGTTTAATATTGTAGCTGTTGCAATGGAGGTAGCATTGATGTTGGTGATTGAACAATTGTTGCCAGGTTGAGATTCTGTCGTTCTGGTTCCTTTTGACTGTGAATAAATTCCATCATTCAGGGTGAGAGACAATCCATTTGTTGTCTGTTCACCTTTTGATAGCTTCTGGCTAGCTATCTTCTGGCACTCAAAGTGAGAGAAGTTCTTTACCTACAACACAATGGTGACCATCACAGCACAAAAGCAATGACCTTGGGGTGGTATTCATGAGAATGTCCATTCCCACTAGGACACTCCAAATTATTTGAAACTGCCTTTTTAACTTTTATCTTTGTGTATTCTTCAAAGGCAAAGACACAAAATTTGTCTGCAGCTTGGAACATATGGCAGGTGGGGCTGGTAGTGGCTTGCTGTTGAAGAGGGGGGTTGTCAGCTGCTTGTTATCTTTGTAGTTTTCAGAGATCACAGTCCAGTCCACTTGAAGTGTCTTTGAAACTGTTAGATATTACATCCCAAAAATTTTTCGCCAGCTAGTTACTGAATTTACACAACCATTTATTTTATCTCTGTAGCAGTTCTCTTTTAAAAAACAATTTTGGAATTAAGGGTTCTTAAAACCCATAGTAATCCAGCAATCTGACACAATATCAGAACAATAGTCAAGCTTTTCTAACATAAGTGTTTCTCGCACTCTTCCAGTCATTCCCAAACATTCACCAAACTCTACGTGCAAAAAATCTCATCTCCATTTTGCCCTTCCAATAATTACTTTAAATATATAATCTTGGGTATTGAATTCTCTGTTGAGGAAAGTAGGATTTGCAACCAACGCAATGTTTCTAATCAATTACTGTAAGTTGAATACTTCTCCCTTTTCTTGTTCATGCATTTTTGGGAGAAACACTGAAGTTTCTGGCGCAGTGATGTCCATTGTATCTTTCCAACACTAATACAAATCTAAACTTTGTCCTGTATATTCACTATTTCAAATATTTGTTCACAATTTTCTAAAAGATGCAATGGTCATTGCCTCAACTCAATCTTCTGATGCATATATTTTTATTCTGTTCAATGTTAAAACTTTTCTTTGGCTCTTTAATAATTATTTTAAATTGATTATCCTTTGTTGCTACCTTCCCAAATAAAGAAAATATTATTTTAATATTTAGTCTATGAAGATTGTTTACAGCTTTAAACGTATTTATTTGATTTCCTCTTAATATTCTCCAGTGCAAATACGCTGAATAAAATACATCTTTCCTCATAGTCATATTGTGAATTTATTTATGCCTCATTAAAAATACTATCTTTTTTATGGCTTTACGTACTTTCACTTTCAGGAATGTTAGTCATAAAATTTATAAAAATGCATTACAAACATTTCAACTTAAAAATGACAAAGTTGAATAAAATTCAATTTGTCTCCACACAAGATGTTTCACTCTTTGTACCTGAATGCAATTGTAATACTCTTAACATAATTGTTTATGTTCCACATCAGACATACAGGCCAAGGAAAATAATTGTAAGTTACAAAAATTGCAACTGAATTGAACTTCTTTCTATTCAGCATGATCCATTCTGAGGTGTTTCCGTACGATTTTAAGATGCTTGATATACATAGTCTACATATCCTGATCTTCTGTTTAGTTATTTTGTTCAAACTGTTCAGTCATGCCATGGCACACTGATCATGCAGGTGGATATAAACCCAGACTGTCTGACTCAGAGGGAGTAGGGACACTACCACTGTGCTGCAAGAGCCCTTAGGTCCTATTGTTTATCCATATTGGATAGTAACTTTCTATTTGTCCACATTTATCCATATTAAATTTTATCTGTTAGCCCAGTCATTTATTATTCTTTATCATCTCACTCAGACTCAAAACTAAAAACCCTGCAGAATTTTGTCTAAAGTACAAAGGAAACTAAGGAATCCACGGGAACAATCCTGTTTAAATGACACATTTGCAATTTCCCTGATACCATGATTTTACAAAAGCATCAAGAAAATAGCAAAGATTTCCATGTATTTTTGTGGGTTGGCTTTACTGATTTGAGGAGTCAGGTTACAAGTTTTGAAGCAATTGCATTGCTCCTGAATAATATGAAGTCCACAGGATTTCATTTAAAGCATTGTTTCAGCATCGTCACTATCAGAGGAAGTTATAGTTGTGACTTTCTTGTAGCAATTAAAACTGGAGATGACGGCTTGGGGGCAGGAAACCTTGCATCTGGAACTTCAATAAATCCTATCTTATTAGATGAGGTCTTCCTTCTAAATATCATTTGGAGAACTAGCGAAAATTAATTAATTTTTCAGCCTAGATCTAATTCGAACTGGAGCAAATCAGAGTACTACCCACGTATCTGAAACACATTGCTCCGACAGGTCATACAGACTAAAACTGCCACATGGTTGCAGTAGAGGTACAGCTGAAGTGCAATGCTATGTCGAAGTTGTTCGTAAACGAGTAAGAAAATATTTTAACTTCTCATTGTTATCTCACTCTATTAAGAGCAAATTCGATTAATACAACATAGTTCGAATATATAAGGTAGGAAACCAAACTCCCAAATACGTTCCTCGTGATAAAAGCCCGTTATGATTCTAGGCACATTACACAACTGGAAAGCAGACTGAGATAGAGCGAATTACCGAATGTCTCAAATTGTTAAAGCGAATTTATGATAGGTAACCAACACAGTTCACCTGTCAGCGATGGCGTAAATAATACTGTAAACATTCCACGTTTAATATTAGCTTAAAATATTCAAGGGAGCGAAAGTAAAAGAAGCAGATGCACGAATGACGGCTGCGATATGCAAGTTCTGTTCTGACCCAAATACTGCTTGAGGTGGAAATAACAGCAGTGTCGTGTCCCACCCCACTGAGCTGGGAGGGTTGGGCACACAAAGTGCAAGAGACAGCAAGTCGCAAATGAAGCCCTGGTACAAGTTGGAGTTTTTATAACACACACACACACATGACGGACGGCCGAGCATCCCAAACAGTAGGAGGAGACTAGACTGCCAGTGGCTCGCCATTGCAGAGGTATGGGGGGAGGTGGGGTGGTGTTTTATTGCCCAGGGACACACATACAGACACTAACTGCTCCTTGCAGAGAGTTGAAAGGCGGGCAGTGGAAATAGGGGACAAACCGCTTACTGCCTCCAGATGATGGAGCTTGCCTGTCACAGTGCGAAGATTTAGGTGGAAGAAGACTTCCGGTGAGAGGCAGCACGGTGTTGGGAGAGCTCTCGCTGGAGAGGAGCAGCACCAGCAGTGAAGTGGTGAAGAGGGCAAAGAGGCAGCTTCACATCAGCCTGTGTGTCTCCGGGAGCTGCTGGGGGGGGGGGGGCATCTGCAGCAGCTCGGGCCACTGGTTGCTGACATTTCCACGCCAGTGTTTTCCCCCCCCCAACCCTGTGCATTGATTGGCTTGTTCACTCCCTTCCGCAACTGGGAAGCGGGGCGGGGAGCTGTCGCTTTGTAGAAGGTGTTTGTTCTCTCTTTCTCTCTCCAAGTGTTGTAGAGAGGGGGCTGGAACACAAGCTCGGACTCGGCAAGTGTAAACTTGTGGGCGATCATCATGGCGGGTGTGAAGAAAGCCGGCTCCCTGGCAGCTGTCCTCTGCTTCTTTGTAACCCTGGGAAACCTGGTGCACCTCAGCCTAGGGCGAAGCGAGCAAACTCTGGATGCTACTGGTAAGGAGCGTTCACTCCTCCCCAACAAGAAACGATTTAAGATCCCCCAAAACAAAAAAAAAATGAGACAGGATGAATAAAACCCCGCGGCTGTAAGGAACTGTCAAGTTCGAAAGTTTGCTCCTTCGTTTTTCTTCTTGTTAAGTTCCTGACAATGTGTTCTGGGGGGTTGAGGGGGGGATCGGAGCTTTAGGTGGAAGTTTTCCTAACATCTGCACTTTTTTTTTAATTTTCAAGGCAGCAGCAGTTTTTGTTTTCTCTGTTTGGGGGGTTGTCGTGATATGCTTCCTTTTACACACACACACACAGAGTATCTGGTTGCTTTCTTTAAAACAGTCTGCGCATCACTCCCGAGGTGTTGGAGGCGGCCGGGAGGAATTTGCTGAGCTGGTTTCCGAGGTTCAGCAAAAGTTTCAGTGTTAAAGCCAAGAGGGCGAGTTTTCAGTTTGGCGGCTCGCACATGCCTCGCTTTTCCTTCCCAGTGTGCGGGTTCGCACAGAAACGCTGGCCGAGCTGCGAAGCGTGAAGCCCGTTGTTAGGCTGCGTGTTTACAGCGGCACACGTTTACATGGGATTTGTCAGAGACGGGGTAGAGAGTTATCACCGCGAGGAGACTCCAACCCACCAGCCCCCGCTGCCTAGCGCTGTCCGCTTGCACCGTGGCAAGGACAGCTCTACAGTCTCACTTCAATTACTCTCCAATTCAAAGCTCATCCGCTTGTTACTCCTGTCATTTATCATCCTGACCCCCAACCCTTCGCACCACCACCTTTAAAATGACGAATAAGAGACGCTTTCCACTTTGCAGAGAATATAGAAATCTGGCTGTCTACCTGCAGTTTGCTCATGAAGGAACCGCAGGTCTAACTTGCTTGACATTCCTGGCGGAGTTTGCAAGTGTTTCAGGCTAAGTCAAGGGGCCGAGTGCACCGGGAGTTTGAGGATTCGTGTGGAGTTTGACAGTGTGGAGAAAGGCAGTGATGCTGGTAGTTGGGTTGAGATTAGGGGGGGGCCGCGGTGCGGTCTTGGCTTGATGCTGAATGTTGATCCGCATTGAGTGCGGCAGCAGTGGTTTCTCAGTGGGCACTCACACTGGCATCACTGGCAGATGGACTGGATGGTGTTGCTCGTCAAGATTTGTGTATTTCTGATTCATTACTGTGTTTTCTTTTGACCAGTTATCCCAACAGCGAATGAACTATGATAAATGCATGTATTTGTCCATGTGACAGCATTTTAACGCCAGGCAGTATCTCACGGTACCTTTACTTGATATCATGTATTTTTTTCAGCCGCTGTATCGCAAGACTTTTAATATAAGACAAGGAAAGGCTTTCAGCCCTTCGAATAGCTCAACTATCAGAAAAAAAAAACAAAGAACTGCGGATGCTGGAAATCAGAAACAAAATCCGAAATTGCTGGGAAAATCTCAGCCGGTCTGGCAGCATCTGTGCAGAGAAAGCAGAGTTAACGTTTCGGGTCCAGTGACCTTCTTCAGGACCTATGAAGTTTCTCTTCGTGGATTTGTCCGTTTAAAAGATCAAATGTTTGCCATTGTGCTGCACTTTCAGA